GTGTATTTGCTCTTTTTAAATATGAGTAATTGGCAGGCAGGTAGCATACTTCTCTGAGCGAATGAGAAAACTTTAATTTTAAGTAGGTAGGATCCAGGAAAGGCACGAGGTTGCTTCCACTCCAGAGTGGAATTTTCGCCTCCTGGTTTATACAGAATTGTTACAAATTTATATTATTTCATTCTATTATGCTTGTGCTTTGTAAACTTATTTTGTGACTCTTCTGTAATCTTCATTATGTATCATGAGATTCAAAGGAATTTGCAACGATTTGAAAGATTTATTTCTATTTCGATTCTATTTCGAACAAGATAGAGTCGAACGAATTAGCAAATACTTTGATGAATTTGATACTTAGTTTTAAGTATTACAATATTAGCATTTCGCACAATCGCGATTTTTCTCAATTAGAAATATTTGATATAATTCAATAAAAGGAATGAATGAAATATGAAAATACTGCAAGAAAATGCATAACATTTATTGCATTATTTATTTTAATTCTATTTTATTTTTTGACATTAAAAGTGCGATGTGTTATTAGGTCATCGATAATTATCTGCTTGGACATTCGTTTAATTGTGCTCGTGTATATGTCAATGAACTCTAAGTTCATTGATAGTTCACGAGCTTTACTAATAAACAGAAAATGTAAATTAATTTTTTAATAATTGAGAATTAAAATCATAAAATAATGCAAAGTAATTTGCAAAAGTAGTATGAAAGATCTTATCTCTTTCGCACGTAGAAAATGTCCAATGCAGTTTTCAGGGAATGAAGAAAGAAGAGGCTAAATGCCGAAGAGGCTAATGCCGAAGAGGCTAATGCCGAAGAGGCCCCCACAAATTTGTGGTATCAAGTGGGCAACTACATAGACTATTGAGCTATTTTCAAAGGTTCAACATCAAGTTTGAACCTATCGAGAATAGTTCTCTAGTCATATTTTATATTTTATTATTTTACTTACTTGCTCGTCATTAATTTGTAGTTGTATTTGGAGATGATGGTCCATTCCATCTCCTTGGCACATCAAATCTGTGTCTAAATTGTCCAAAAGGTGCATAAGTTTTTAATTAGTTAGACTCAAAAATATTAAAATTCTCTCATATTATTAAATTTTGAAGTTTAATTAATGTTCAGTAAATATTACAGTCATTTCTTTTTTCTTGTTTCTTTTTTAAGATATTTTACTATGATTGTATTTTATTAAATTTGCAATTTTTCTTTTGTATATATAACGTTGTTTAAAAGTATTTTATAATAATTAATTGGATATTATTTTTATTAGTAACTTATCATAATATTTGTACTTTTCCTTTTTCCTAATTAATTGTATTTTTTAATTTAAAATCACGCGTTTAAATTTTATTTTATTTTACAAACGGTAAATAAAGATTGGATAAAAATAAATAGGGAATTCAAATGAAAAATGCATCTGTCAATTGGACCACTTATATGCTAGGCTATTTTATCACTTGATTGTATGATTAATATATTTTGCTTTTTGTTACAGGTGATCATCGTTGGATTGAACAACAAACCTTTTATATTCTTTTTTGTTTGAGGCTCTTAAATTGCTTCATTTTTAAATATTTATATAATTGCATTTCTGAAGGCACACACTTGTTTATACACTAAAAATTAAATAGAATTATTTATGAATCTATTACAATTTTTAATTATACTATATATACTATCAAAGAATTTGTCATATACTATTATTTACTATGAAAGAATATACAGATATTCTTTGAGATATTGTACCGTTTTTTAATAGTTCTTTTATATACTCCTGTTTTTTTTTGTCATTGGTTGAGCTCTGCTTTATCGACAGTTTTTAATACTTATTCTTCTAATCATATTATAAGATTTATAATATACATTACAATAATATAATGTTTTTTTTAAAGTAATCATGAATTCTGATTGTATATTTACATTTAAAATAAGTACAAATGTATGTTTTGTTTATGTATCATATTATGAATGTTTTAATTCTTTTCGTTACCAAGTAGTTCGTAGTATAGTACGTAGTAGTACGTCTGTAACTCGTGTCGACAGATAGCGCTTATGAATGAATCGTTCTTGGAAACGCGTTTTAGTGTAGTTATGGCGTTTTTATGTGAAAGCACGTGGCTGAAGCATTGTTTTGAAAAAATATAAAATAATACAAAATAAAACATTATTTTATTGATAGTCTTGTTAACAATCGAAGCTGAGTGTATGCATAATTGAGTATCCAAAAATATCAAGTATAACCTTTAAAAAAATCTTGTTTCATTTCTATTAAAAATAAAATATTTAGTGTAATATTGTAGTTATTACAAATTTTGTTAGAGAAAATGAGTGATCAAGATTCAGAAGAAGTTTCGAAAGTTAGCGGTCCTGTGGATAATGCTTGGTCCTTAAAAATTCCAGCATTTAAGCCTAAAGATAATCCACATCGTCTTTTAGAGGAAAGTTCTTTTGCTACTTTGTTTCCAAAATACAGAGAACAGTATTTAAAAGGACATTGGTCTCTTATACAAAAAGCATTAGATGAATATGCGATCAAAGCAGAGTTAGATCTGGTGGAAGGTAGCATGACGGTTAAAACGACAAGAAAGACTTGGGATCCGTATATTATTGTAAAAGCACGTGATATGATAAAGCTCATGTCTAGATCGGTACCCTTTGAACAGGCAGCAAGAGTATTACAAGATGATATTGGTTCTGATATTATAAAAATATCTTCTCTTGTAAGAAATAAGGAAAAATTTGTTAAGAGACGACAAAGATTGATCGGTCCAAATGGATGTACATTAAAATCTATTGAATTATTAACCAATTGCTATGTACTAGTTCAAGGACAAACAGTCTCTGCGTTAGGACCTTATAAAGGTTTACAACAAGTTAGACGTATCGTTGAAGATACTATGAAAAATGTTCATCCTATTTATAATATAAAAGCATTAATGATTAAAAAAGAATTAGCAAAAGATCCTAAATTGAAAAATGAAAACTGGGAAAGATTTTTACCTAAGTTTAATAGTAAAAATGTAAGTAAGAGGAAACAACCAAGAAAAAAGACAGAGAAGAAACCGTATACTCCATTCCCACCACCACAGCAAGAAAGCAAACTTGATAAACAGCTTGCATCTGGGGAATATTTCTTAAAGGAAGAACAAAAGAGAGCAAAGAAAATGAAAGAGCAAGAAGCTAGACACGAAGAGGCTAAAAAGAGAAGAATTGAACGTAGAGAGCAGGCATTCATTCCACCAGAGGAAAAACTTGAGGATAAAAATGTAAAAAATACAGAAGTAAATATTGATGAATTAAAGAAAAAGATTAAAAAAGTAATGAAAAAAAGTAATACAAAATCGTAGAAAAGGACATATGGGATCAAGATTTTGTGCATATGCAAAATATGAACAAATTTTAAACTAAATCAATTTTAGAATAAATAAATATTTTTCAGCAGAAGTGTCCTATAATTTTATTAGAAAAACTTTATCTAGAATTACTGTAATATTGTAATCTTATCTTATATTTATATGTATGTATACATTTATGCATATGTAATAATTATTATACATTTGCGAAATATAGGATGGAGGAGAATATAGATATTTTTGCTTTGAAAACAAATCAATTTTTATAAGACGAAAAGATGATATTAAAAAAAAACAATTTCGCAATATTAATTTAAACGGAATTATTTTTTTTAATATATGTGACGTAAAATTATAAAATCAGTGTGATTTTATTATTTTACAATCCTAATTATCCTTAATATATTTTTGATTTATTTGAAATATATTCGATCACAATCACATTCTCTTATAGTAAAATTGATTTTCCTAACGATTCAGAAGAAATGACAAATAAAAATACGTAAGGAATATTTCACTAATTAGCCTTCGTATTTTATTTGCGTTTCCTCGTCAATTACAAAGATATTTTATAGGATAAGAATGTTAACATTGACTGATTACTTACTATCTTAATTAAATCTCGAATTCTCTGTGTTATCATACAGTTTATAGATTTGGAAAGTACAATTCTCCATTCTTTCATCGATTTACATTTATATTTTCACTGTGGTAGGGTTTATTTACAAGTATCAGCATAATTAAGATAGAGAAACTTTGTAGTTTCAACTTTTTTATCATGCACGGAAGCAAAGAGAAAAAGTATCGATATTTATTATAGCAGTGAAATAGTATTTCGAGAATTTAGGACGGGAGGAAGATAATAGAATATGTAAAATTATTTACAAGATTTTTTTCGTATAATTCTGCATGGAAGTGAATACCTCCATTTTTAATAAAGTAGGAATTCGTGAGAAAGTTGTCTGGAAAGTGAAAGAATTCCGATGCAGAACACCGAAAGACCAAACTTTTATCACAAATCCTACAATTCTTGCACCTGGATGCGCGTCTACCACATTTTGACTTTGCGAGCGTATCTTAAATATGAAACAGACGTATAGAATTCGTCAACATTTATGTATGCATATAACAACCAACTTAGACGTAACATTATGATTCATTAATATTACAATAATAATTTTATATAAAACAGGTATGTCTGATAAACGTGAATTTTATCGAATACAAATTTTAAAATAAAATCTATATTAATTCGGTCAATCTTTAAATTTGAATGATAATGTTACGAATACGTAGGCGTGTGTAACGCATTCACATTAATATCGTATTTTCTCATTCTCTAATTAATGTACAATATATTCGTTATTCAACGAATGTTCGTTTATAATATCTACACTAAGAAACGTTATTACCTATTTAAAGTATCAATATGTAAAAAAACAATCTCCCAACAAACATTTTCGACTACGGTTATCAACATTGACGACGACATTCGGATGGGCGCAATATCATACAAAAGCTTAATGCCAAGCACGCAATATCGTACAATATTTTTCTATTTCAATCTCCAGTAGATGCGAATCCTGGCGCAAAAACGGCGGCAGTTAATCGTTATCGGCGAAAAGTCGAGGCATAAAAAAAGCCATCTCACATGCCGATCAGCCTAAATTTAAAGATCCATATCATATATTGCTATTTAAGTCACCGTGTAATATAATATATTTATGTACTTTCGCCTTTTAGTTTAACGCGTTGCGGACGAGCTTATAATAATTAATTATACTAATCGTTTCTACGCTTCATCGAAGTGAGATCCGAACACATAATTATATATATATATATAATTATACTTAATCGATAGATCGGTCCGCAATGCGTTAAATCATCAAACGATAAATCGTATCGCTATTCCCATCCGTTCGCACACAACCAAGTAAATATATAATTTCTTACAAAAATAAATCTCTTTATATTTTCGGGAATCATAGAACGTGGAGTCGAAATAAGAGAAACGACTCGCTTCGTCTCATAATTCCACTCTTTTGGATCGGAGATAAAAAATCTCGATGTGACCGAAAACGCCTAAAAAAAATTTATTTAAATTTGCTATATAAAAAAAGGAAGAAGAAAAAGAAAGAAAAAGAATGGACGTAGCGTAGATGAATTTTTTTCAGACTCGTAAAGACGCGACTAAAAAAGCTTTTCTAATCGATCTTCGTGCTATCGTTGACCATCGATAATCGTCAAGTCGTAACAAATAATCTCTTTTCGTTCCTCTACACATACATCTTTTATAGATAACAATAAAAAATAAACACACTTGTGGAGAGTAGACATAACATCGTGAATGACTAGTAAAGAGTATATAAAAAAATAAAAATAATCGAACCTAGGTTTATTTCGCACACATTGTTCTATCGATTCTTTCTTCTCTATAAGGTATGTAGTACTTGTAATCTCAAATTAGTATTCACAAGCAAAATGCAAAATCTCTTGTCGAGTATCTTCTAATATATTTAAAAAATATCACTATGGCGAAAGTAATTTCGCCAAAAATCCGACTTAAAAAAAAGAAAAGAAAAAGTGAAGTACCTTGAATATAATGTAAATGTACAAAAAAACAAAACAACTAACCGCACGAACGATTGTATTTTGAGATCATTAGATAAATGTTTTAAGTATTCAAGTAAATCAAATCGCAATGGGAACATACGAAATCCTTATTCTTTTCTTTTTTCGTTTCTTTTTTTCTTGTCTGCACCCGTACGTAATACATTTTATAATATAAAGAGAATTCTGAGTCATCGTATGATTGGGGTTTACAATAAAAAAAAAAAACCGTGTGTATGATCCGCGATAAGTTTCAAAAAAGGATGATTTGTTCTAGGCCCAAACAAAGTGTGATGGATAAAGAAAGATAAGATAAGAAGAAAAAAGATAGAGTAGGAAAATCTTTCTATTTTTTTTTGCAATAAAGAATTCGTTTCGCACGTTCGGTTTTCGAAACGATCGAAATAACAAAAGGATCGATCCTTTAGAAAATTCGGCGAACTCTAGAGACGAAAGATGTATTATTATTACGCGGTCGAGTAAGGTTATCGTTCTTTATCGAGAGGACGATGGAAGCTAGTGAGTGTGATTGTAGAGATGCCACCTCTGGGTTTCCGCGTTAGACTCGCATTTCTCAGCGGTGATTCCACGTTGAGCGTGATATCTGGAATCCACGCAGACAGGAATCCTGGAGTGCCTTATGAGACCACCTTCCAAGTGTCGCCACTTCTGATTTTCGCTGCCATCGCAAATTTGCATGAGAAGCGTCGTGCCTTTCGCGTAAAGTGGTAACGTCAGGCAAAGATCGTGATGCTTTATCAGACCATCTTTGGTGAGGCCCCATTCCTGAAATCGTCAAATCGTCCATAATTTAGCTCTAAATTTATATCTTACCATATTCCTATCTTTTTATCTTCGTTCAAAACTTACTACTATTCATCGAATCTTTATTTGCGGATTGTTCGAATTAGCAAAAAATAAAACTAGTCGATTATAAATCTTAAGGCCGAATCTAGTATCTCATTAAGAAGTTTTTTTATGGTTGAAAAATCTAAAGAATAGAAAGAAGAGTAATTTATCAGCTGTTCAAACGTTTGGACAACGTGCGTTTTCCGAGAAAGTAATTGAAGAAAATGCTTCGTTACGTTCACTAAATGCATCACTGGTACGTACTTGATTGCCACCGGTATCGTGGCAAGGATATAAACCAACGTTTCCATCTAGCAAATGGCCCATGCTATCCAGACAAGCCGTGCCTTGTTTTAGAGATCCTCCTGGACCACCCTCACTTGTAGGGATCACCAATTCGGGGTAGACGTGTTTCAAATACCAACTAAAAGGCTTGCAGTGCAGTTTTCGTTTCAGTTCCATTCTGTCTTGAATACTATCGAAAAGTAGAGAAAGGATTAGAAAAAATATCGGTTTAATATATAGAGATGAGTTTTAATTTAGTAGATTAGTATAATAATAAACTTACTTTCCATAAGGGATGTTCCGTGCAAGAGGTACAGCATTATAATAAAATTGTTTATAATCATCCATCCATACTTCAGCAGCACGTCTCGTGTTCCGTGCAAATACGTTCCCACTACCTCCAGGAAAAGAATAAGGATGACGTTTTCTAAAGACATGACCCACTCGAGAACACGGAATGATTTCCAAACTGCCACCACATTGCCATACTCGAAATGATATTTCTGAATAAATATATATAATCGGCAAGTATTCATAAATAGATATTTCTAAATGAAATGAACGTTGAGAATTGTTCAATTGTCTTACCAAGATTTTCACCACCCCAGACATCCATTTGAGTGTCGTATTTTCCAAGTTTCTCGAAATAAGCTTTATTGATGACGAACAATCCACCAGCTATCATTGGCGTTCTGATTGCTTGCGTTGGATCCTTTTGTCGTGCTTGTCTTTCAGCTTGGCTCAAATACTCCCATTTAAAAACCAAACTCCAATCGAACCCTCCTCTCAAATCTGCCGATGCACCTGTTATAGAAAATGGTATTGATCAAATTTTTTCGCTATACATATAGAATTTGGAAATTTCTCGGATAATCGTTTTTCACGTTGCACGTACGTTTATTTAACATTTACATTAATGATTTAGATATTTTTGTATTTAATTTACCATCGAACATAATTTAAAACTATAATTTGTATTTTTTAAATGAACAATAAGTGTAGTCAATCCACTCGAAATTGAAGCGAGAGTAATTTTTCAATGACAATAGAGGAAAGCAAATTACCGATATATTGGAACGTATCCATGCTGATAACGTCGATTACAGGACAAACAACTCTCGTCGGATCTTCTGCTACTCTCTCTAAAAGGGGTTCCAACCAATCGGCGTTACACTCGCAGTGAGAGTCCAAAAACGTTAAAACGCTAGCAGTGGCTGCATCGGCTCCTCGAACTCTTGATCTCATTAAACCTTCTCTTTTTTCGTTTCTAATAACTCGTACTTTGTGAATCCTTGACAGTTCTTCACCATCTTCAGCTAGAACGACGAATGACGATTTTATGTTTTTAGAAAAAAATGTGTCTATAATTTTAGTAAAGATCTACGTTAAATTGTAATTAAATATAATACTCACGGTGATCGCTGAAATCGTCGACCAATATGATCTCCTTTATCAGATGCTCGGGACTTCTATTAAGTACGCTAAAAAAAGTAAAAAAGAAAGTAAAAAACATAGAAGAAGAAAAAGTAATTAAGAATTCTCGTTAAATTTGAACGATCAATTATATGGTCGTCTTAAATAAATTTAAGGCACCGTTACGCCTCTTGCTTTAGCCTTCGCGAAAACTTGCCGACTCTTGACTACCGAAACTCTCCTTCATATTTTTTTTCCCTTTCGGTTTTCATAGATGGAAAAATGTTTTAATTAATACGAGACCTCCCCCCGAGTTATGAGAAAAATCTCTGATTTATGCTCGATGCCAGAAACTCGTGAAACGAAAAGAAAGAAGGAGAGAAGAAAATAGAGAAAAGAGAGCTTGATGTCTCGCCTATTTTGAACGCGTACGAATATAGTAAGCGTGACACGCGATAGAACGATGGAACGACGATTAGAAAATTCCATAGGTCGGCATTCTGAATTTCTTCACTTTTGTAGAACTCGTATATATTGCAGTCACAACTTTCTTTTTCTTCCTCGTTTATTTTTTGAAAAGCGATTATTAAATCATAACGTAAGTTCAATATCATTTACATTGAAAAATATAAAACTTACCTTACTACGGTTCTTAACAACGTCGATCTGGCCTCGTTATGAAAGGTAATTATGACGGAAGTAGGTGGTAGATCTCTTCGCCATTGTTTCATACGACACCTGGAACAATAGGAACGAAAAGGGAATATTTGGTGAAAGATGCGAAGGACTTATAAATAACTAGATTATAAAAGCAAGAGGGTCGTACTTTCGAGGATAGCACGATATCGTAATCGAATAATATTAAGTCAAGTAAAGTGGTTTTCTTGAAAGCAGTCGGCATTATAATTCAGAGAAGAGACGGTAGAATAGGAAAGAGAAGAGTTGGACTTTCGTTTCGTTGAAGTAAGTCGACGCAGAGGGTACATAAACGTGGTTAGGTGACTAGCACGATCCCAATATGTCGGACCCCTCCTTCGTGAGATAAACTCATGGGACGTGTGTGGAATGTATTTATTTTCTACGCGTTCTCTCACAAGATGCATTTCCGATGGGAAAAAATTTCTCTCTCTCTCTCTCTCTCTCTTTGTTTTTCTTTCTTTTTCTTTTGAAAAACTCGAGCAGACATTACGTCGCTATGCCATCAAGAATTATCAGCAAACTTCTACAAGCTAATACGATTGTCGAGATATTTTCATGAAATCGGGATAGGTTCGATAAACGCGACTTCTCGATTAAAGTTAGAAAAAAGGGATGTTTCGAGTTATCTCAAAGGACTTTTAGACTAATTCAAATTCTTCATAACGTTCCTTAAAAGTATATCAAATTTTAGTTTGATTAGAGTAATTTCGCAAGTGTTAGTATTTTTAGAAGATATTCCCTTTTGTAGGATGAGAAGCAAGGACTGTGGCAGATTAGTCCAAAAGGATTTATACATTCACTCTAACCCCGTACGAGCCGGACGTGAACATATTTGCTAGCTACTAAAATTGCAAACGAGCTTCAGGGAAAGAAAGAGAGAGAAAGAGAAATAGCAAAGCCGCGTCCACGAGACGAGATGGATCATCCGGACGGTTTAATTCGAAACTTCAATTTGGTGTTGTGCTGTCCTAGCGCTTAAGTGGATAACGCGACTGGACTACCGATTTTATCGACTGTTCGAAATTCGCGTACGCATCGGACGAGCAATGTATGCGTAAACATACATACGTATTTTAACACTGCTACAAATCGGATCGATCGTGCGAACGCGGACGCACGACAACGCAAATTTGTTTGGGTATTTCACGAATTTTCATAAACGCTTTTCTCTCTCTCTTTCTCTATCTCTTTTTCCATATTATCATATTTGAAATGAATAATGATTAAACAATAATGTAATGAAGAATACAACACCATTAATCGATTCACATATTAATTATGAAAATAAATTCTACCGCGGGAAAATCAGGAATATATTTGAAGAGGAATTTAATAATAACAAATTTTTTATTTTTATATTCCAAAAAATTGTAGATTCTTCAAGATCGATGATGCATAGGGGGAAGAGTTTTCAATCAAACGAATTTGGAATAATCCTTTCTCGCACGATCTTCCGATAATCAAATTAAGGATAAAGGAACGTTCGAGCTTAATTCCGCGGGAAAGCATCGGCAATGCTCAGATTGAAATGTACTCGTATATTCTGCGAGCTAGTTTTGCGAATAGGACGCTAGTAATACTCGACGGGGAAAAATAAGGGTAGTATAGGAATAAAAAAAGGATTCGGCCGAGTTGGACGCGAGATAGAATTAGGACAAGCGTTCAGTACCACTTGGAAAATAAAGTTTTTCGCTTGTATGATTCCGAGCAATCTAGTCTTCGGACATCGGCAATGAAAGGGTAGATAGTTGCTCTGCTGAATATTGAATTTTTCATTTAACTTCACTCTTGTCGCATCTCTCTAGCATGGAAAATCATAATTATAGAACAAAGTAGGTATAATATGTAAATTGGTTCTAGGCTATACGAATGTTCACTTTTACTTTTCTTCCAATGTTCTTCTTTTTCTCTAAATATTTTAAAATCTTACGACGATCATATAGATGGATAAATAAATAATTAGATAGATAGATAATTTCTAAATAGTTACTTAGCTAAGAATAAATTTCGTTTGCGCAAACGTGAGCGTATTTCGAAACATTCGGAATTTCCATTAATATTTAAATACGCAGGATATTTGGATAATGACGATCGACATATGTAAATGAAATCTCGTCTATGCTTGTTGGTTGTGTGAGTTATGAATACAGAGGACAATATATATTCTTGATAATGTTCCAAACAGATTAATACCGTAACACTGATTTTTATTGCTTATATATTTGCTTACGAAACGTTTATTTTAGGGTTCCGGATGTTTCTTTCATAGTTTTGGACAATTCCAAATCGGAATATTATTAATGACAAATTGAATCTTTAATTCTTAATATCGTATTATTTATCAAATTATTTCGTTTCACGAATAAAGTAACCTTTTACTCGTTTCTTAGTTCTGGGAAGCGAAAAAGCTTTTCCGTGCTTTTTCGTGCTGCGATCCTATACAGAATCGCTAGACTGAATCGCGAAATTGAGGGGAGAACGAAAGTAAAAACTGCGTGTTACTTCAACGAAATTTGTTGCATAAAAAAGAGTACTTCAAGTTCCGCAGATCCGTAGATCTTAAAACGATGCGGTTTCCGGCGACGCTTCGAGTTCCTTTCCTTTCGGCTATATATTTCTCCAACTTTGAAACGAAGACGATTTATTTTTACGACTGGTTGCCTTGAATTCCAAGAAACGAAATAACTTATTTTTACCTCTTTTACGAAGTTGTAATTATTACATTTTTTTACGTAAGACAAACTACTTTTCGAATTTTTCATTATATCAAACGATATTTTAATCGATGAAAAACAATGATGTAACCCTTTCGTTAACCCTAAAATACCAATGATTAATGAGACGTTTTCGTTCGTCATTACGAGAATCCTCGTACATTGCTTGAACGGTTCAAAACGACCTTGTAGACAAATATTATTTTAACGTAGTTACGCGTGCGAGAAGGAGCAAACCCGAACATCGATGATTGGTTCGTGCAGAAACTTCTATCGATTTTCTCATTTGAACTTGACTGACCGGCAAAATTTGATACTCGATTTTTTCCCATCCAATCAATCTCTTTCCAATAAGTTATCAATTTTATAAATTATTCATTTGATTTTTATCGAATCACGAAGTCATACATATATATATGTATAACTTTATATATTTAATTAATTTATTATAATATAATAATATTCTTTACTATATTTAGAATACTGGCAATACATCGATCCATTTAACGAAACATTGTTAACGTTTTCGCGTCAATGCAAACGCGAGAAATGAATTTTAGACGTTTCATTGATCGATTAAACTCACGCCCACATAACGTTTTGCAATGCGCGTACGATATCATGAAAGTGCATACAGTTGTCGACGAATAATAACTGTTTAATTAATTACCTCGACGAACCGTACGTACGTGCAAGCTCTCGATGTCGTTTTAAGAAGATCGATCGTATTCATCATAAATTTGGTGCACTCGTCGGGAATGCGAATCACGTGTCAGCGAAATTTATAGATTGTTGTATGATTAATAGCTTGTTTTTTTTTTTATTCGTAAAAGCACTAATTGTAAAAAAAATAAAAGATGAAAAGTGGAAAGGATGACATGTATTTTGATAGGTTACTCAAAAATAACGTTTAATCGTAACCTTTTTTTCGGATATTCTTTGTTTCTCGTTTGTCAAAAGTTTGCAGTTATATGAAAGAAACAACACTGGGTTGAATCGTACCGAATCGTAAATTTAGAATACCGATGAATAGGAAAAAGTCCGAAAAAAGATCATAAAATCTCATCGAAGCGAGAACCCTGTTCGTTTTTTATGGGACGTATAAATATGTGTATCTATATCTTCAAATCTGACGTGAAGGATCTCACGGAAGTACGTATATCGTGTTCGAGAGTTGCTGGCATCGTGAATAAAAGATGCGCGAGTACCGGCATGCATCGTGAGCGTTTCTTAGTGTCTTACGTTATTTGAGATTCAACCCTGACCCAAAGATTCAAAGTTCTTCGATTTGACTCTTTATATTAAATCAAATCCAAAAAAAAAATAACGCCTAATATTATTTACTGCAACGAACTAACTTCATTGTTTTATTTCATTATTAAGCTTTCCCAATTCGAATTAGCATCGTCGATTTGTGTTGAGTTCGTAATCGATTTTCTGAACGCGTTCGGGCTGTAACACGCGACAATTTCAATTTACATCGATCGCTGCTAATTATTTCGTTAAAGTGCCGGACAAAACGTTGGGCGGTTCCCAAATGCGAGCATAATTACGTTCGTAATTTCACAATTTTTCTGAAAGTTTTGATAGTTTGGAAATGATCTTGAAAAAAATTAATTATTATACGTAAGATACTCGGAGGGGAAAACAAAATTAAGTTTCTACGCCAATCTATTTTTTCTTGTTGGTTTTTTTTTGTTTTTTAATCCTAGAGATTCGTTCTCTTGAAAAGTGGTAAGAGAAAAACGAATATAAAACTTGATTTGATGATAGTAACATATTCAAACGAAAGGAACGGTTCGTCAAGTTTCCAACGAGCAATTCGATATGGCTGAGTGAATATTTCGATGCCTTACTGGTAGCTTCATTAACCAATTTCTTGCAGTTCGAAATTGGTTCGTTAATTAGTCTGATTTGTGCCAATCTTGATGACGAACATGTTTGTTTAACTGCTAATTTTTGTTCCTCTCTTTTTTCTTTCTTCTTTTTCGACCAAATAATATATCGAATTATACATAAAGTTATTAGGAATTTTCAGAATCGTACAAAATGATACTCTGTACACGTAATCGTACATTTGTACGTAATAAAAAAAAAACTAAATAATGGTCGTGACAGAGCACGTTTTCCTCGGTTCATGAGTTATCGTCGTTCGAATAAGAATTACGAGAATACGGAAGAACGCGCAACGATAAGTCCGAATGTCGATTTCCAGTCGTTATGATTTACGAGAACATTTTACGAGAAGTCAGAGGATGCTTTCGGCACTGTTCCTCGCGAAAGAAAAAAGACAAATCGTTGGAACCGCCAATCGAACCACCAACA